ATACATACATACATATACACATATATACAGGTTGTCAGAAGTTGTTATGCTTGCAAAGCTTCAGGGCGGGCTTACCAGTAGGATTCGTAGAGTTTCTGGTTTGCGACAACGTTTTGTCTCGCAGAGCCTTACGGCTGGAAACACGGAGTCCGACCGAATTCCCCCATATCCCAATAGAAACAAGTACTATGCATAAAACGGGCCATGAATCAAGGATTGAACCTGCATGTGATGTAGAAGCAGAGCCGTTTGGCTCACCAGTACAGCTCCAGCACTGAATAGGAAAACATTGAATAAGAAATCCGGCCTCTAGATTCGGGCTAACATGTGCTTGAATCTGCCACTGCCGAGCAAAAGGAAGTAAGAAATTCAGGGCCCCCTGCCCACCCCCGAAAAAACACTTTCTTATCCTAGTTCTTACATGCTGCCCCCAAGACCAGAAACGCAGGACCCTAAACACGTTACCGTACCTTGAAATTCGGGCTTAGGGATTCAAAGCTTCAGGCCAAAAGGGACAGGAATGAGTACAGCAGGGGCCTCAAAACTATTGCCTGGCTTTATAGGCCCAGGAGGGTTGTGCAGCAAATCAGCGAGAGTTTCGGAAGTTGCCCGAAGGCAGTAGAGGTGAAGATTTGATATATCCGGTCGCTAGGACAGATTGTTGAATCCAAGCCCAAACCTTAAAAGTAACAGGTTTGGATGGTTGTTCCCCTCACGCACCTTACTGCTGCATCAGAGGCGCACGATACGACTCCGGTAAGAATTCCTAAACCTGCCGGGCCCCTGCCTCGGATACAGGAATTTCTTATCCAACGCCGTCACTGTATACGGGAATCTCTGCAAAACCACCCAGCACCCTCACAGAATCATGCTGTCATGTTTCGTCTTCGCCACACTGTAGGACAGAATCTCGTTCGCATCTCCTGGGCATCTCTCTGGCTTGACGGAGGGAACGTTGCTGACAAGGAGCCAAATGCGAAAAACTAAGAACGATGATGACGAAAATGAACATCAACATGAGCATGAACACAATGGTGCGATGATCATCATCACGGTCCTGGACATGGTCACTCTAGCCATGCTACTTCATAATGGAACTGCGCTGCTGTCGCAGAATGTGGTATTGCAATACTTTTATCACTTGTATCGCTATGAATGCTCTGGAGAGCTGTAATTCTCGCTGTGGTTGCGGTTGCCACTAGCGCAGCTACGACGGTCTTGACCATTGCACGAATATTGTCACTGTTCCTCTTGCTCCATTGCTGCTTGCTGTTGTTGCGATCGTGGTAGTGGCGTGATAGACAGAGTGGCAGTGCTAGTCGCTGCAATCGTAGCAGGGGGCATTTGGCCAGTACTTCCAAAACCACGCAGAGGAACAAGACGGATGACGCCTCGAATGGAGGAAAAGAGCATTGCATCAATCGGGGCAAGAGTGACATCTCCCGAGATTTTCCCACAGGCAGGCGAATTGCGTTAGCATTAAGCCTAAGCAACACACGCAGGGCGCCTCAACCCCCGCGAAGCCCGAAAACACGATGGCTCAAACCCCTGGGCCCTTGAGCTCCAAAACCCCTGAAGCCCTGAGCCAAGGCTTCCGAAGCCCTGTAAAGTCAAGAACGGAATTGGAATCTCTTGAGCCCGGACTCGGAGACACAGCCGCGGATGGTCAAGAAGCCGCAGGCCGACTGCGAGGCAAAAGACAAAGATTCGTTCAAAGGACACACATATGGTGTGTATATATATATATACACACACACGGACACTACGCAAACAGGGATGAACCAACTTGGCATTGCTATGGTTGGTACAATTGTCTAGATCTATGAGCTTAGACATAGATATAAACAAACATATATATATATACACTTTATTGTGTACTCCAGGAGCTTATGGAAGACGACTCCGTGAGGGGTTGGCTGTCGCACGTGTATCGGGTTTGACTCCTTTCTTGCGGGGCCACGTCGAGTTCATCAGCTTTGCCGATCAGGAAGTGCAATAGGTTGAACTATCAAAGTCATGGGCACCCGAACCCTACACCCGTCAAACCCCCAAGCCACCACCCTACAAGTAGCCACTTAGACCCGGAACTTGCAGAGATCCTTCTCTGGAATGACCGTATGACCTTCTCAGAACGGAAAATGAGCTTTCTCCCATTTCTCCTTCAGCCTCCTCAATCCGCCTCATCGTGCAATTGGAACCCTCGTATACATGCTCATATGCGCATGTACATGTGTATATATATATATATATATATACATATATACATATATATATATATATACATATATATACATACATATCCTTCTTTGTGTCTATCTATCTGGCTGTCGAGGTATCTTGCTACCGCGCTATCCGTCTGAATGGTTGCCTGCATGTTTTGTCTGCTTGTCTGCATATATTACATATACTTGTCGCAAAAGCGCATACGTGTCTGCTGGGCGTTTGCACACCATGTGAAACGCTGGCAACTTTGCTGAATCACCCCAGGCAAACAAATGCAACGACAGAAAACACAGCAAAGTAGGGTGCGCATGTAGAAGAGTGAGGTATATAGCATACAGCCAGCTAGCCTCAAGATAATCCAAATCTGCCAGAGGCCCGACAATTATTATAAAGCCGAGTGTACATTACGCTCAAACCGAAGCAACAACGACTCTGAAATCGATTTCTAAAGGCTGTGCACACAAAGGGACAGTCCCTACACATATGCATAAAGCATAAAGCGCACAAACGCATACTGAACCAACTAAAAATAATTAAATATGGCCACATACACACAGTACACAGGATACTCATGGATCGGCTTTGGCAGTCTCTGGCTTAACCTAACAGAAGCAAAGCTTCAATGTGGCCCGACCGAGCCGGAGTCGAACAGGGGAGGACATCTTAGAGCAGATCATGCTCGAGCCTATTACGACATGTTCTTGGCTGTGTGCATCTCGAAAAATGTATACATATATACAGTTATATACATATATGTACATATCTGCATGCTATACTTGAATATGTGTGTAGGATGTTCAAGCGCGCGCCGACCCTTCAACGTGAAAGCAAGAAGACACCTACTTAATTTAACGGAACACAAACTTAGCGCATGCTTCGCTCATATCTGCTGGTTTGCCTAATCATCGCTTCTGTCTGCGTGCGCATGCCATTTGTTCTTTGGAGCTATGCAACACGTCTATAATACGAATGTACATCCACTTCTACAGACGCATGTATAGACAGACCTTCTACCCATGAGAAAGAGACGGCTCTAACATGGGGGCCTTCATAATTAGAGTAGGGCTTATCTCCACACACTCGAGAAGGCATCACCCGATCCTGGTCCACTACGCAAGAGTTCCAAGTCGTCGCTGCGCTCCTCCTGAAGATAAAGCCTCTGGAGCCACAGGGTCTTTCGGATTTTGGGAGAGGGGAGAAGTGTATTGTGGGGGTCTGCTTAGGCTTGGGGCTTGGATGAGGAAGTGTGGTATCATGGTGTGTTGCATCCACGGTCAAGGGCTCCGAATCCTTTGCAATTTTGACTTGAGCTTTTGGAATTGCATGCGGACATTCGCGGCGCAGAATATCAGGGCAGTTTCGCGGTGGACAGAAGCAGTCGAGGATCACGCAAGAAATGCAAAAAACATGGGTTCAAGCTGAGGCCAGAGTAGCACAGCTGCCCCTACTGCGTAGCCGGCTTGAATCCGCACCACTGCCACCCAGGAGCCGCAGCGCAACTCTATCACTAACAAGACCCCCTGCGAGGAAGTGTGGCAAGAATCGGTGATATGCCGTCCAACTTGGCTCTAAAGTGTTGCGATGCACGGGAAACCTCAGGATGTGATCCGACATGTTGGCCGCAGTTACTCTCGGCATCGAATTGCGCTCGAGGCTCCACCAGTGCACCAGGTGGCCCGTGGCAAGGTAGGACGCCACGCACCGTGGCACCCACTCGGGCATTACGTCGCCTAGCGAGGCAGATGTTGATCGCCTGAGACCCTTCAAACCTTCAAGAGCAAACGATGGCAAGGGAATCTTTGTAATGACTTGCCCCTCAACGCTTGCAGGCTTCCACAATCCGTTGCAAAGTGGGTCAGTGGACTAAGCAAAGCCAAGCTGCAGGACTTCACAATTTCAAACCCCCAGGCTCATAGTTATCAGATACACTCCTTCAACCAGGCGCGAAGTCACATGATCGCCCCCGATCACAGCCCTCGGAGCTGAGCTGCCTATCCAAAGAGTATGCACTTCCTCCAGCTCGCTGCGGAGTCCATGCGGCATTGCATGAAGCACTGCTCTTTTTTGCTTCCGAGAGTTGAAACTGTACATGCGAAGAGATCTATGAAAATGTACATGAACTTTTCTGCGTATATATTTTATACATATATATATATATGCATATACGTAACAGATATTTAATTTGAATCGCAAGCCGCAGCCCCAACGAAGAACTAGCGATAGGGGCCGGCAGTTAGACGGCTAGCACTAAACTTGCTGCGTGGATGCCGAGCACTCTGTACACAGACTGTGAAGAGGACAAACATGCCAAATGTGCAGTTAGGGTTTAGGATTTAGGGATCTAGATGGCCAAGTGCCAGTCTCAACAGTTGTCCCTCGAAACTGTTATCTGGAGAATCACGACTTCACGCGACAAGGCTGAGCGGTTGAGCTGCAAAAGCCAGCAGCAGAGACAAACAATCAAAAAGCAGCCGACCAACCAAAACTAAAAGGCAAACAGTTTTCATGCACATGTAACCACAACCTGCCTGCATCACGACCGCAAACCTCATGGTCATCATCATGGGCACCGTCATCATGGTTCAACCCAAACATGAGCGCTGACATCATCATCTCATCTTCTTCCTCCTCCTCATCGCCGCCAGCACCACCACAATCATGGTCACAGTCACGCAAATTTCAACCTCGAAGCGTGCCTCCGTCCTGCTATCGGCTGCGGTTTGAAACCCGAACCTCCTTCCCTTGAAGCACAGACAGCCTACTGCTTGGGCAACGGCGCACAAATACCACGCAAGGCCCCGGAGAGCTCGCCCAGCTGCCTTTCCGTGGCTGCAGGCACCTTCGAGGCAGCTTCCAACAATCTTACACGACGACAACCCCTACAACAGGGGCTGGATCGAGGAGCTTTCAAAGGGCGTGACCATGCTGATAGTTGAACTGCCACAGATGAACGGAGCTCGTGAAGTTGTTCCAAAGAAGGTGTTTTCCGACATACTATTTGACAAGAACTTCCACCGCTTTTAGCGTATGCCGACCCCTCCAGCATGTTCTACGTGCTACAAGTAGCCAGCATCTTCTTGACTCTCGAACACTACGTACTTTCACAAAGAAAGCCCCGACCTCAAAGCCCCTGCCAGGCCTCGGCAGGCTCTAGAGACACCAGTAGCCGTGTCCCTGAGGCAAAGACATCAGCTGTCACTGTGTGAGGCTCCGAGCTCGAGGAGGCACAGAGACAGACAGACAGACCGACGGGCGGACGGACAGACAGACAGAGACACGAAGACACATTTCCAACCAGTTCTCCACACATGCCGGTGCCTCACTTTTTTCTGCGTCGCCCGAGCAACGTCAAGTTTAGTCGACCACGTCTGGGCACATTGAATCATTCAATCGCAGCCGGAGGTTCGCATTTACATCGAAGCCCTAGTATCCAAGAGCTCAACATCCTGCCACTGTCCACAAAAACCTCTACATACGCACAGAAACAAGCCCGGCTTCGGCCGCTGCTTGGAGAAAACCAGTGTCAGAATGAACAGCACGAAGTTTCGAGAGCCACTCCCGTCTTGGCGTAGGCTGCCTTCTCTTTGAGCCGTTGAAGCACATAGCTCGGGGCCGACGTGGCGGCCGCGAGCTCGATAGGAAGCAGACCACATGCATTCCGGATATTCACATCTGCACCGGCTTCTATCAGATAAGATGCTGCTTCGCAAGAAGATGTGAGCAGACTGATGGCCAGCGGGGTTGCCCCATAAAAATTGCTGATGATGAAGCTCAGCTTGCTGCCGTGAAGTCTTCGGAAGAACGCAGCCAACAAAGCAAAGACAGGATCCCACCTGTCTGGAAGGAAACGGAACTGCTCGTTGATGTCAGCCCCTGCTGCAACCAGTCTTGCAACAGACTCACCAGTGTTGCTGCCTCCCAAAATCCCGAAGTGCAGGAGGCAGCTTATGTCCAGACCCGGAATGTGCTCCAGCATCACCTCCACTGCACGCTGGGAGCCCCAAATCCATGCAGGAAACAAGACATTCTGGTCAGCCAGCTTCTCACGCAAGTAGGGGTCACATCCAGCGCGGAGCAATAGAACCACTCCTTCCTGGGATAAAACGGAGTCCGGAATGCTCAAACGAGGCTCAACACCGTCTAGACAACACGAAACTCCTAAATCAAGCAAGAGCAAGTGTCTGGGTTGTCACCGATGCCTGCTCGATGGAGAGGAGTGCAACCTGTTTTGTCGCCCCTGGCGTTAATGTCAGCCTTATGATCGATCAAGAGCTTCAGTCCGTCGTTGTTGCTGAACTGTGCACAGAGGTGCAGCAGCGTGTTGTGAGCGTGGATATGCTGCTCTTCGTCGCTTTGCGTCACTTCCTCGTTGACGTCTGCCCTCAGACGCAGCAAAACCTCCAGGATCGAGGGATCGCCACGCAGTGCCGCGAAGCAGACCGGCGTCCAGCCGAACTCCCGGCGCCAAAGATCCCGAAAGCTGTTCTCCCGCAGAAAGGGGACGAGAAGAGCAGAGGAAGCGGACTCGGCCGCAGACCCAGAAGCTCCGACCGGTTCGTGCGCTGACGTTACCTCCACACAGAAGGACTCCAGGTGCGCGCGATACCTGTTCAAAAGAAACCTGTAGCGATACAGGTCCGCAGTCTGCAGCAAGGAGCAAAGATGCGTCTGCAACATGCTTCTCATCAACTTCAAGACCCTCTCCTTGTCGCTTGCGACACTGAATACTCCCTCCCCGGGTGGGGCGAGCATGCTCTCGAATGGCTCCATGAGCATTTGGATCTCCGGACTGTCAATATACCTCCAGATTTGTTTGGGCTTTCAGACTTTAGCGGTCCCGAAGTAGCATGAGGGCTCCTTACACCATGGATCCGAACTATGTCTCGGGTCCCTCATCTAATCCCTCTCGTAAACGGATCACACATCGCCGTCCAAATCACCAGAATACCAGCAAACAAGACATGATGCACTATCCTCGGGTCGTCTTGGAATTCACGTGCAACTCGCTCCACCCTGCACCAGCCACGCGTTTTCCACGCCTTCATTGTTTTTTGGCCAACATAACATGCTAGTCTTTCGCAAGCTTGGCTGTTGAACAAAACTATCATCTTTTGGCCATTCCCCATGCCTGCTTTCCGATGAGCGTTCCATCCGCAGCATGTTGAACCACTGGAGCCAGCACAAAAAAAAACTTGGCACGGTAGACATACCCTGGGATGCTGTCCACAGCGTTTTGCAGGTCAGATGTTGCTTGCTTGCTGTGCTTCGTCTCCAGCTGTGGACAGCAGAAGTAGTCCTAGGCAGTGCTCTGACCCAAAATTGCTTCTCTCGTAGTCGGTTAAGTTATAAGCTCCCAAACGACACTCAACCACCCAGAGCCCAAAGTCATGCCGATTTGGTACTCAGAGTCATACCACATGAAAAGAGGGGAGGCCATCAGCTCCGAGCTGTGAAAGCATCGCCGCTCGCCCAGTATTACAAACGCGAGGGCAGGAGCAGGTATCTCCACTGAGCTCCTTCGTCAGCTTGGCTGTCGCTGGCTTCAGGCGTTCTGCGGGGTTGCGAATCATGCCTAACCAAGCCTCGAACATCAATCTTGTTTGGGTGGGGGCTTGCACTCAGCAGTCGGTGCTTGAAGCAGCAATATACACAACGTGTGGCGGCATGGCAGGCAGATACTCTAGGAGCTCTAGCAATCGGAAAACTGAAAGTCGTCGACCACGCCCCTAGCTCCTCATCATGTTCTCGAGGGCGCCTTGCAGAACGCGCAGCTGCCGAAAATCCGGGTCAGGATGGTTCTGCCCTGCCCACTGATGCGAAACGAAGATGGCATCGCCTGAGCTTCAGGCACCCACCCTGCTACGCATGACAGCTTCATATTTGCGGGAGGGATTTCAAGACCTTGACCTTGCGTCCACGACTTCTATCACGCGAGTCACCCATGTGCGGCTGGTACCTGACCAGAGCCTCTTCTTGCATTAGGACTTCGAAGGGCTTCACCACGGTCATGCGCATGAAGGTCTGCAGCGGGACAACATACCTCTGTCATTGCCACAGGAACGGTTGACAAAGCTTGGCAGTGCCTGGCGACTCGTTTAGAACTATGTAACACAACAAAGGTGCATCGGAAACTTGAGCTTCTCTGTAAAGACGTTGGGCTTCTCGTGTGCGAGGTGCAGCAAGGCATCGTCAACGCCTAGGCTGAAGTAATGAGCATCACCAGCGGCGCAATGCACAAGAGAGTCCCTGCGAGAAAAGACAATGTCAACGCTGTAGCTCCAATACAGCAAAACCAAACTTAATACGTATGAACAAAACGCCAACGATTACCCCACAGGCACGACAACAACCACCAACCGCAACAGCAATTTTTATTAGACGCTGAGCGAGCGGGCTCTGCTCATTGCGGGCGTGTGAAACTGCCTTTGCACCTGAGCAAAGAGCTGAGAGCATAGTAAAGAGAGCCTGGGCCTGGAGTCTTGAGACTGGCAGTCAGCAGTAGACAAAACTTAAAGCTACAAGCTACCTCAGAGGCCGTCACTTGTCACTCAGTTGGGTGAGAAACCCTCCGTCACCCTCAGTGTGGACTATGGCGTCCCATGTCCACGAACCAATGATTGATGAGCCGTACCCAAGGGCCGTCACTCGGAGTGCCTGTTTCGTGGCGTCCCACTCATGGTCACTCACAATCAGAGGCGGTGGGCCGTAAGGTCGCAAAGTGATATTATGTCCGTGGCCAACCAATGGAGGTAGTAGAAGCTGCCCACGCCTCGGCGTAGGCTCATGGAGAGACTGTGTCCAACCCGATCTAGCATGGCGTAACTGCCTCAATGTGGCAGTTGGGCGTGCCCACACATAGTGAGCAACGAGCAGGCCCGTGATGCGAATATGCTGTTGACTGAGGCAGCTCTTCTTTTTTGGCTAAGAGCAGAGTGCATCGGCAAAGTCACGGCACCCCCGGGAGCTGAAGCTCCGTGCCATGAAAGGCCAATGAAAGATTAAATTTCGTGGACGTATCAGGCGTTGCCTGCATGCGAGCTGCGAGCGTTGCCCGACGTAACTAGCTGAAGCTACGTCGCGTGAAGGCTCAAGAGATCTGTCAGACCTAAGGGAGATGAAAACCGAGATCAACAAGAGTGGCTTTATGCGCACTCGACAACCGGCCAGGGTCAGAAATACTGTATGCAGCCAGCGTGATACGATCTGTCAGACTCCAACCGCGAGTACAGTGAACATGGTTGTGAGCGGGGAAAATGAGTGCCTGAAAGGCCAGGCTAAATGGGCGGCCACTCAGCAGACCATAGTCAGTTTCTTCGTAGTCGGTGCCTTGCCAGGATTCCACCCAGACTGAGCCTTCATCGTGGTGGGAGAGACTAAGCAGCAACGTGCCCGTCTTGGAGTTGGACTGATCTCGATGAGGTGGAGTACGAACGTTGAGGTTCAAGGAGAAGGTAGTCCATTTATGCTCCGGGCAGATGTGCTCGATCAGTCGATTAAGCAGTCGACAGAAGGATCCATGCCGAACCGTATCTGCGCAAAGGCCGATAGGTCCTCGTGCAAAAGCGCCGAAGGTGACATTGTTGGCGCTGCCATCAGAGAAGCGTTGGCGACCTGGGCGCCATGTCAAAGCTCGAACTGCTGTGCGCACAGCATTCCAGAGCGGTGACTGAGCGTCTTGTAGCAAATGCCACGACAGAATTTCAGCGCTTGAGGTCCGCTCATCCAAATCACCGTACGGAAAGGGCATATGAGTGTCAAGGCTGCGAGGGAGACAGGGTTGCAGGCGTGCGAGGTAGTAGGACAACTCCTGCATCCGTTCATGCCCAAAGGTCTGAATTGCCAGGTGCAGCAGATCGTTGTAGGATAGCATCCCCGCTTCGGCCGGAAGCGACAAGCGTGGCGGTCGAGCAGCCAGGGCATGCATGGCCTGTAACAAGAGGTACTCCTCCAGGGCCACGGCGTACAGGTCCGGCGGAAAGTCTCGCGTTTGAAACATGATGTTGGGAGCTTCCTGGCTATGTTTGCTGCTGGAGCCACATGCCCTAGAAAGAGTGAGAGAGAGTGGTCCCTGGCTCGTGCGGCAAGAGCAGAATGACTGAAAGAGAGTGTGTATTCCGCTCAAGGAGACTAGCATCTCTAGTGGAGGCGGTGCTGCTTGACGCATCTCTGAGCGCTTCGTCAGAGGACGCCCGGTTTGTAAGCAGGACGTTGCCTGACATCAGTGCAGGCGTTGCCTGTATTGCATAGGTGCTGAGCAGAAAGGAAGAGAAAGATTACAGTTGCCTATTACCAACAACGCGCAATGATGTCAGCAGGCGGTGCCTGGCATCAACTGGGGCGTTGCCCGGCAGCCGCAAAAGGTGAGACTGGCTAAGTAGCCCTGGCATGCAATGGCTCAGCGGTAATAGCCGTGGTAGGCAGGGTTCCTGGCATTGTAGGAATTTTCTTCCCAGTCCCGCCAGTCTTGCCAGTCTTGGGAGCCGGCGGATCTGGAGTGTTGTTCGGGCGGAGGCTCGTGAGATCCATACGGGTCCGACCTCCTGGACTCCTTGTTCTCTCTGTGCTCAGCTTGCCTTTCACGGCGACCACGAAGCTGCTGCAGCAACCGCAATCGCAACAACAACAACAACAACCACAACCAAGAAACAACAGACAACAACCACAACAACCAAAAGAAACGACCGACATCAACAGACAACAACCACAACAACCAAGAAACAACAAACAACAAAACACGAACATCCAACGACGAACCACAACAACCACAACGACAACAGCAACAACCACCACCAACAACAACCACAACCCACAACCCACAACCCACAACCCACAACCACAACCACAACTACAGCCGCAGCCACAGCCACAACCACAACTGCTACTGCTGCTGCTACTACTACTACTAGAACTACTACGACTCCTGCTACTACTACTACTACTACCACCACTACTACTACTACTACTACTACTACTACTACTACTACTACTACTACTACTACTACTACTACTATTACTGCTCTTTGTGCTCCTCCTGATGCTGCTGCAAGAACAACAACTGCAACAACAGAAGCAGCAACAAGAACAATAAGTCGTCGCCTTGTTGTCCTCACCGCAGCTAATAGTCTTGTTATCGAGGTATCCCATGGCAGATGTCGCAGTGAACGCAGCAGTAGCAGCGATAGTCACTGTGGCTGCAATCATTGGTGTGGCGTGCTGTTGATTTCAGGCGTCTCAGTTCAGCAATCAGTAGGACTGAGTTCCACTTGCAGCTGTCACTGTCATCGTCAAAAGGTGCAGTGACCTCGCCGCAGCACAGATGCGCAAGTAGAGCAGCTAAGCCGAGGCCCTTGTTCGTTTATGCGATACAAAGAAGCAGCTGGAAGTAGAGGCAGAGGAGTGCCATTAGCGCAGCACCGAGAACAAGGTTGCCTATTCTGACAACGACGATGCTGCTGATGATAAACCTGAAGGTCGTGATGATGATTATGGTGATGGCCATGTTGATTCTTACACAACCAGTGCCCTCGCGTTCCTGCTGAGTAGGCCCAAGTCTCGGTCCACGTGCTCGCCCTGGAGGCCATGGCACGCGCCCATTGCTTCCCTGCAGCTATTGAAACCTATCGAAACACCGAGACCCTGAAAGCTCTGAGTCTCTCCAGCTGCAACCCCCCTGCTCTGAAACCACGCCTCAATGTGGAGCTTCTGAAACTAAGAGATCCCACAAATGTGTACATATATATATATATAGAAATATGTACCGTAAATAGTGAGAAGGACATGGATAAGCCCACCCGCACGAGACACCAACAATTGAGATATCCCCATGGTCTTAGCCCCTGTTGCGACCCTCAAACAAGGCCGTGCATGAAAAGGCAGTTCTCTTAGAGACTCTGCCGGAAAAGCTGCGACATGCCCGGACACGGACACACTCGACAGGGTTGGGATTACCGTGGAGGTTTGAGGTCTCGGGTTTTGGGTTTAGGGCTTTGGATTTCGGGTGCAGGCATCCAGGAATCCAGGGGGCTCTTGCAAAACACATCTGTGAGGGCGCAAGATGTCAGGGCGCTGGCCATTGTAGGCTTCACTGGAGATCCATCCCTTCAATCCGGCAGAAGCCCTCAGGAACGGAGTGCATCACGCTTCTGAGGAAGCTGTATACACAGATGTGTGACATGGTTTTGAAACTTCCATGCTGACGGACTTTGAACTGCGGTCCAGAGACAAGGGCGCTGAGTCACGCAAACTATGACTGATGTCAGGTCTTATGTACAGCGCTTGCCTGAGCTGACATTCTGCGTAAGCGTCCGCCTTTCCTCTTTTGAAGCCGGTGTCATGGGCTACCCACAAAATTGACGTCACTGTGACGGTTCATGGCAATTCGGCCTGTCGCAAGTGCAGTCGCGGCCAGTGACAGACATAAGTAAGGCCTGCTATTATTCGCTGGTCGTTCGATAACCTTTTCAGCCAGGATATTTGGACATAACAATCCATGAGAGCTTCAACAAGGTGTGGGTGAATGCCAAGCCTGTCATGCTCATTTACGGTACAGAACCATTACGAGTACGTGGCGAAGCTGTAGTTATGTTTCAATCTCTACCTTGCTGGCCCTGCTCGCAATTTACTGTGCTGTGCTGTAGATGCATGTACTCACAGTGTCGGCAGTATTCTATCCATCGGTAACATGAACATCGCACGACTGCTATGACTTGGGCAGCATGGCAGCCCAAAGCACTAACATCTGAGGCCCCGAACCCAAATATCAGAGCAGTGCCATGCTCACCAATCCCCGAGGTTAGACCTCCCTCAACCAATTCTGCTCTGAGCTTCCCACAGACCACTCGGACCTGGCATTGTCAGCTCAGGATGGCAGCTTTGGGGTGTTCAGCTGACCTTTATGGCTTCAACAATAAACTCAACTTGAATTTACTTCCATGTAATTTAATTCGATATGTTTTAATTCAAGTCAATTCAACTTCGTCTAACTGAAGTCAGTCGATTGACTTCGACCTAATTGCTTGTGCGGCAGGCCGCAACACTTTTAGTGGGGCAATGTCGGTCTACTGAGCCCCCTCGACCAGCTACCTGCGATCACAGCTATAGATGAGAATAAGGATAGCTCGAAGTCTGGAAGTGTTCGGGTCGATGCATGCGCTGATGGTGGAAAGCAATGGCGAGGCAACTGCGTCCCAATATACCAGAAAAACGAACTTAATCACATGACTGGTATTAGTGCATTTGCTGATGGCCACAGCTCCAGGATCTGGTCTGGCAATACGGGACAAGGAAGTCAATGCTTTCCTTGCATACTTGTAGTAGACACGGCAAGAGTTGAAGTTGCAAGAAGAAAACCAACCCAAACACAACAGTGTTCGTGATCGCGAAGCCCCGTGGGACCCCAAAGGTTCAGCAGCCTTCGTCCGAGAGGTAGCCAGGCATTCGCATCGCTTGTTCCGTAAAGACCTGCCGCAGGCGCTCGACTGCCAATCTGTATCCCTGAACTAAACCGAAACTGCACCGCCACGACCGAGCTGGGCTCTGAGGGTCAAACCAGACTACCTCTCCGAATTAGCCAGGAAGATGGGCAGCGGGCCATGAGCTTCTCAATTCAAGGAGCTCACGGTGTTTCGCTTGAAGCGTTACTCGGCCCAAAGTTGTATTGAAGCAATGTCAGCAGTGTAAGTTCCCCTAAGCCCGACACCCGTCGCGCACGATTTTTTCTGCCCGAAGCGCAACGAGGAGCAGCACTCGAGCTCTGCCACGAGCCATGAGCAAAATCTCTCACAGCCAGGGCAGCCCAGGACATGCTACAGGAAGTCTGCGCTTCTCCTTTGTGGCAGTGCCCGCACCTTGGCCAACGGTCAAGCGTCGGCAGTTTTTTCGTCCATGGGATTCAACGATGCCTATTCACGGCGGGGGATGTTTTGCTTCAAGATAGAATCCTTCATTCACAACTGAACGCGGAGCTAGGCAGATACTGGAAACATTCTGCCTGCATAAACATGAATCCTCTCAAACGCCTGCGAAAATGCTGGGTTTAGGCAAGGGCTGACCCCAGTGCATGAACTCTGACGTACTCACCTTGTCCCCGCCTTGGGGGGAGTCAGCAGCAGCACGGGCGGCATCGTCCAGTGATAGACCTTGTAGCCGATGCACATCTTCCAAGATCCCAAGAAACAAGGATTGAACAGGTCCTGCAGAATCTGAGGCGAGCACTTGAACATCAGGTATGTGCATGTTTCCGAGAAAGCCTTTGATTCTGTCCAGCAAGGACAACTTGCCCTGCCATCGCGGTGCAAGGCATGTGAGGAGTGCTGGCAACTTGCCTGGTTGCAAGAACTCTGCTGTCACAGAAGCAAAACGTGCACGAGCGAAGGGGGGCATCCTACTCGAGGCAGACCGCATCTGCGCGTGTCTCGCGAAACCCTATGGCCCTACGAGGAGTCAAAAGGCAAAGGCATTCCGTTTACAGATCAGAATTTGCTCGGGCAGAAGTCCTTCCTTTGATTTCCGAACCATACCCAAAAACCCACCGTGCCAGATTACGTGGACTAATAGGGTCAAAGGTGAAATATCTGCATCCCACGTCCCCGCATCGCATGTTCGGTGGGGCTTGAGAGCTGGAGTCTACGGTCCGTGATACTCATGCTAGTAGGTAGTACTTGAAGGTTCATCAACTGAACCTGCAGAAGCATGAAAACCACTACTTGGGATTGCAGAGCGCGCGTTGACTCCCTCTCTGCCCACTTGCTACCTGTAGTGTCCAGGTCTATTCTCTGCGTTTTTTCAACACTCTCTCTCTCTCTCTCTCATCCCGGGCAATCTGTCTCTAGACAGGTTTTCCTTCCCTTTCCCCGTCCTTCGGCTTCTTGGGCACGAGCCAGCTCGCATCCTTCCCCATCTCGCCCACGGTCACACCTCAAAAACCCCAGACGTTCAAAGCGCAGGCTCGTGCCTTGTCACACTCATGCCCTGCAACATAATGACATGACACTTCCTATGCTGTAAGCAGGCACACACAAACATTCCTCAAGTGACTCACGAGTACTGTCTGCTGACTGAGGCTGCAGCAGTTCTCCTGGCAGCACTTCACTTGTCCGGACAAGACAAGACCACTTCCAAACCCGGAACCCGCTAAGATCCAGGATCCACCGGTTGGGCGTAGCAAATGGGAAGGATGTGGGCAGGCGGTAGTAAGATTCAACTGGATGTGCGATGTTCTGACACATGCCCGCAGCCACAAGGGTGATTCACAATGATTGAAATCCCCGAAACTCTGCCCACAGCCGTCTCAAAGCAGTCCCGGATGTTGTCACAGAACAGCATTGGACCTGCAGAGGACCCGGAGTCACAGCGGTGACGCGGCTGATTCTACGGGCCCAACAAAGCACCTGAACAGTTCAAGGTAAAACCCTGACCCCTACAGGCGGATAGGCGTCAACAGCCTGTGTTTAGGTGCTGGTTCCCAAACACATCCGTTTCCTCTGATCTGCCTGCCGAGTGGCAGTTCTGATCCGGAGAGCTCTTCTCGCGAAAGCACATCTGCGCCTCGGGCGATATGAGGTTGCTATATGAAAGTTTATACTGAGCTAGGCTTTTGCTGGAGGCTTTTGTGAGGGCATCGGCTTTTCGTTCAACGGATGCTCGTTCTGAGTTTTGGCGGCTTTCAGTCAGAGCTTAAAGGCTTAGCGGGGTTGGTACAAATTCCAACAAGACACACGGAATTCCGAGGCCCACACATCCTCATGGCTGAAAGGCATCGTAACTCCATGTTCGTTTCGCTGCGCGTACCTCGGGCGGAAGTGCCCTTGCCGGATCAACTCTGAGAGCGTGGAATGGACTCAATCCGACAGCACAAGCCAAAGGGGGATGTTGCAGAACGGCGCCATACTAGAAGTCCCTACTGTACAAGTACAAGGCCCCTCGAGCTCGGAATTTCTACCACGTCATCCGTTCCTAAATAGGAGAGTCAGATGCCCCTCTTTCGAATGGGCCTGGTGCAAAGGGGGAGGGGGGCTCTTAAGCCTGTGGCATAGAAAGGAAGCAGCCAAGGGCCTCACCAGCCAGTGGGCTCCACTTCCTGACCTGGTCAGACTGGAATGCGACTGAGAGTTGCCATAAACTATAACAGGGTTACCATGATAGGGTTTCCACGGCTACTTCCACTACTACGACTAGTAACTGGTATGGCCGCGAGGGGCCGCACATTCATTGATCCCAGAAAAAAGGAATGGATTATCACCGGCTAGACATCTATTGGGTTGCCGGAACTCAGCTCAGGCGGACATGATCGAACTACTACAACTCCTCCCCTCGGTCGAGACCTGGACGGGCGAATGCTAAGGCTCCTGCAAGCAAATATCAAAGGGGGAATCACTTGCCGGCAGCATTTCCACCACTGCCGCTTCTTCCGGTCCAGAATCTGAGCGGCCGTGGCATGCCGCAAAGAGTGCAGAGAAGCCGGTGTCCCGCAGAATCTGTTGCACATACGGCCGTATGAATATGGCACGTTGCGCTACTCCGAACAGCATCCCCTGCTTGCTTGCATGTGTTTGCATGTGTGTCTGTGTGTGTGTCGTGGTCTCTGAACCTGCTGGGTCAAAATCATTAGTTACCGTTGATACCGTTAAAGTCAAAAAACACATTCTATAAACCGTCTTGCACGATGTGTATGTACACGTAAGAACATACATAATTACATACATACGTACATACATACATACATACGCACATACATACACAGACAGAACTGATCCAAAGTATCGACGGAAATCTGACAAACTTAGGTCACCCTCTCGAGCACAGGCCGCAAACTAAACATTGAAGCGCTCGGTTGTAAGTGCTGGACGAAATATATGGCCTCGCAGGTGTGGTCCAGCCTAGGCATGCTGCATGCATCTCACATCCAGGCTTTTCGACCTTCTTCAGACTTCAAGCTGCATTGGCAACTTACCTCCGATCTTGCGGACAGATTGCCTCCACCTCAGACCCGTACTCACAAATAGCTGCGTACAAGAAGTACGAGGTTTCTTGCTGAGGCTCGGGCGGCATCCGGTCCCTCACCCCTCTCAGCTTCAGCGCCAGCTTGAAGCCGGCTTTCATCTCAGCATGTCTTATCTCCCTGCTGGGCTTCAGATGGCTTTGACCTTGTGGACCTGCCCCGCAGCGCAACGGCCCCGCTCGAAGGAGCACCCAATGAAACCAAGGAAGGCACGATCCAGCACTTGATTTTGCCAGTAATGAGACCTGGCAGGCTGCTGCGGGGGCAAAGTGTTTTCTGGATGGGAATGGTATACGATCACAAGCACCGAAGCCACCAGCAGCAGTAAAACACACCAAGAGCCGAAACACGGAATTCCCACCCCAGAACCGCAGCATCACCATGAGCTCATGCACCAATGCACTATCACAGGAAGGTTGTATGCAGGTTCGGTTGAAGTTCACGTGATGTCATGTCTTACTCGTGAATCCCTGAATCGCACCCATGGTTTCGAACTTCTCACCCTAGCCTTCCGAATTACTCCAAATGGTATGCGCCAAACAAAGAAGTTCAGGGCGTCCGAACGAAGCTCTCTGGCCGGAGCCTCTGAGAGAACACAGAATGTCGTCTGCTACATTGAGGCCCTGCCAGAAAGCCCCATTTCCTTCCCTGTGCTACACTGGCAGAAGGAGCGTCGAAATCCGGGGCATGCACTGAAGCCTTCCAACCTGGAGCAATCGATCCAGAAGGAGGAAGCCACTCCTTTGCGGGACTTGCACCGGGGGGAAGACACAGACACTTGGATGGAATCAATCTTGAAAGCCAATCAACTGAGCTCAACTGGTCCAAGAAAGCCGCCTGTGACTTGGGCAAGACCCTGGGTCGCTGGCTGGGCAGCCGATGCGGACGCAGCAACATTGGCGGAAAGTCCTGCTAAGGCTTCGTCGGAGGCCGTCTCATTATGCGGCATGGGAGCAGGTGGCTTGGCTTCAAAACGCTTCTGCAGAAGCTCAGCCAACCCATTCTCTTCCTACAGACCATTGGTAAGACTATCCCCTAAAAGCCCGCGCAACTTTCCGTTGCAAGCTACCCCAAACACCTTTTCCATGTCTGCGCTTCCATGTGTACAATGGTCCCAAAAGTCCAAAAGGCCTCGGACGAATTCACATGCCTCGGTCGGAGACTTCGGCAGCTAGCTCGGCTGATGGCGTGATGCTATCTCTAGGAGGTGGCAGTAGACAGTAGAAGTAGTAGCAGTACTACTAGTAGTAGCAGCAGTAGCAGCAGTAGCAGTAGTAGATATCTGTGTGCAGGCTCCAGGTTCCCGCGGGGGGCCGACCGACAGACACGGCACCTTGTAGCCAGGATCCGAGGGAAATGTGCGAGACCTCAAGCCTCCGAAACTCCGACTGCCAGAGCCTTCGAGACTTCTTTGATAGCAAGGACGAGTAGTATTGAGAGCGGAATTGTAGGTACCAGCAAGTTTACAGACAGATCCAAACAGGATACTTGCAGCTGGCCGGTGGCCAAGCGGCTTTCAATTGTGTCAAGATGCTGGAGAAGCCCATCGGCAGCGCCGAAGCGGCCCATGGCCACTGGGATCTAGGGCCACAAATTTGGGCCCATGGTGGCGTTGGGTTCATTGGTCTAAAGGGCAAAGCTCGGCACAGCGCTGCTGCCTCGTTGGGTGTGTGGTTGAGGTGTGAAACTTGTTGAGTCAGTCTCAAGCGACGGATGATGCAGCCTAGCGGCCTAGCATGCCCGATCTGATTCAACATGTGTTCTGGGATGTCTTGGGCAAAACACCGGCTGCAATCAGAATGTGGCGACAGTGTATGTGGGTGTCAAGCACAGAGCATCTTCACCAGCATGCTTTTCGGACACGAGTCCTTGATAGACCACCCTCAAGGAGAGCATCTCAGTTTCTCATTGAAAGAGCCCAGTACATAAGCACCTCATGCCCAAAACAGATTGGAAGCCCCGCCGGAAGTTGCAGAAAGCCTCCACGCGTCCGGGACTCTCAACACCCCGCGTGAGGATGCTGACGATGCTACCAGGCCCTGAGCAAACGAGCGCACTTTCCATGTGTAATGGACGGAGTACTTCGGTTCGGATTGGCCTCCTGACCTGTGGGAGTGACCTTCAGCCAGAACTAGAGGTGGACAGATTGAGGACCTGCAACGCAGTAGAGGTTTCGCTGAAGCCGAGCCACTCAACTCTCCAACCACATCGCTCTCCACCTGGGACGGCTCATCGCTTGCAAAAGCTCGCCTTCCCATGGGGTGTTGCAGACATGGGGCTGATACACACATACACTACACACTCACACATACGTACACCACTGCGCTCCCCCCCTCTTCCCGCCCTTACCCTAACCTACATTTCCCTAGCCTAGCCGAGCCTACCCTCGCTGCTGCATAATACCGTACCAATAGCATTACACCACAATAGATTACAATACCGTACATTACATTAAATTCCACTACATTACATTACACTTCACGTTACATTAGATTACGCTACACTACATTACTACATTTCGCTACACTTACATACATTACATCACTACATCACTACATTGCTACATTGCTACAAGCATCCGTCCGTCCGTCCATCCGTCCATCCGTCTATCCGTCCATCCGTCCATCCGTCTATCCGTCCATCCGTCCATCCGTCCTTCCGTCCATCCGCCCATCCACCCATCCATCCTCATGTGGTCGTTCGTTGCTGCACCCAAACATACATGCAGGCAGAGAGGCAAGCAGGTATCGAGATACTTCACCCCCACATCTGGGGATCCAGCATTTTCCTCACGGCGAATCAGAGCGGACGGCAGGGATTGCACCTCGCATTGGGCTTGAGGTTCGCCGGTACATGCACACTGACCGGCATTAGGGAGGACCGCAGTGGTGCAAGGCCCAGCATAAATGGTATTTAAAAATTTTGACTACGGATAACCACAAAGCAGGAGGAACACAGGTCCTGGGAGTTTCATTGCAGCCGAGATGCGATGTACTGCCTCCCCACAGCAGGATATGGAGCCTCGGACTACCGCGCATTTGTTTTGGCGCAAGGGTGCAAATTAGATTATATCAAGCGAATCACCTTCGTCATTAATTATCATTCATTCGTCTCGATAGATGAAGATGCCAGATGCAGGTAACCCTTGGCCTGCACACTGATACTCGAATCATTCTCGGTCTAAGCTGCCGGATCCAAGACGTCCGCCGCAAAAGCTTCGCACACCTGCATGCTCCAGGATCAAGCATCGCTTGCTTTGCTCCTTGCTGATGGCGCAGTCTTCTGCTGCAGTTTGCATCACTATGGTGTCGCTATCATCCTTCGACGTCAATGAGCTGCCCTTCAAAGAAGTTAGGCACTGACGACTGTCGACAGGCTTCACATTGCGCTTTCTGCGATGTCCCTTCTGCTCCTTGCCCGTATTTGCTGCTACAAGTAGCTCGAAGGCAACAATCAAACATTGCTCCTGCTCTGCTTGTCTTGTCGGTGTTACACACATTTACCCACTTGTCGTCGTCATGATCAGGGTCAGCATCACAGGAAATGAACAATACCAGCAACACGTGCCTACACGTTGAACGAACATATGGCATTGTCAAGGAATTGAAGAGCTCTGTCATGGAACGGATTCTTCTACCAGCCATTAGTAATGGCTGGTAGTAATGGCCCATTACAACAACCGCATTGACTGTGACCGCCGCTGTTCTTGCATATGTAAGACTACTATCGCCTTTCTGCAAATCGGCTGGGATCTATTCCTGTTGCTTGATTTCTATCACAAGACCTACAACGTCGGGTCTGTATTGTGATGGTCCCTGTATCCCTGCAACTCCCAACCTTAAAATCCTGGATCCCTCGACTCGAAAGCTTCTAGCGCCCTAAACCCTAAAATCCTTGCCCCCAAACCACCCTTCTATGCCTCCAACGCTCTGTCCGGAGGGCAGCCCATGCTCAAAGCCTGCTGTGACAGCAAGGCCGGGGATGCGGACAATGGTTTGGGATATAATGGGTTCAGGACTCACGTCGTAGAGCGTAGGTCGTAAACAAATTTAGGGGTTTGAGGGTCTACAAATTTCAGGTTCGGGGGACGAGACACGTTTACACTATGCTAGCTCTTCAGGTGCACGGTAGACAGAAAGAATGACACTTGGTTTACAGCTCTTTGCTAACCGAATCTGAACGCCCTGAGTCCTACAACTTACACCCCTGAACCCTCATTTTCGTATGAGCCTTAAACTCGCTGTACTGTAAGCTAAACCTTGATCCACAGTCTTGTGGCCCACCTCCCCAAGGAGCCGCGCTGCCTTCGCCGATGCCGTCGGGTTAGCTCAGAGCTTGGGGTTGGCTACTGATGGCGACTGTCGTTATGAAGTATGGATAGTGTACTTGTCTTATCACGAGCACGACTGCTGCTGAAAAACTAGGTTGGTCTCTGTCAAAACCCTGATCGGAGACCCTGTCTTGTGCGGGAAACCGCCACACCCTGCAATCTGCTCTATTGTCAACGTCGTGTTGGGATGATCAGGCCTTGGGCTGAAATTTCAGGCTCAGTTACTAAAGGTAAGGAGCAGAAGGTCTTCAGGGTTGAACCAAAGCATATTTGGTCGGGGCATCCTCTTCACGTCCATGCAAATTTTCCACCGTTCATGACTCAAGGGCAGCAGCGCCGAATCGCAGTGCATGACTCTGCTCTGTGCGTATATCAGCCCATGTTGTCTAGCCCTTGCTACTTAGACGTCCTTGCACGAGACTCCACAAGCAACAGTCCAAAGCCAAGCCCGACAATGCCCCGACTGGAAGCATCCAAGCTGTCGGGTGACTTACAAAAACGCCTCTTTGGCTTGACCGACATCGGATGCTGCTCATACAAGGATTCTGCTCGAACCTTCCCCGAACGCCTTGATCTCTTGCAACATGGGCCCTTGGAGACCTACAATACCCACGAAGCAGCACTGGCAAAATCCAGCGGGAGGCCCTTCAGTTGAGCCCGAAATCTGAAGAACAGATAGCAGTAACATAGGAGCCTGAATGCGAATTTTGTTTCGGACTGGGTTATGTAGTAGATTCTGCTATAGGTATCGCGGTATAGCAAGGCACCCTAGAGAATGTTGTTGCTAATTCTTTTAGACTCTATGTTAAAAGGCTGAATCAGAACAATCAACCCTGGAGCCATTGAGCCCTGAACCCTGAAATCCTGACTGAACCCTGAAACCCAAATAGCCTGAAACTCCGAAACCTTGGACCATGAACCCTGAAATCGTAAACCCCCAAGCCGCCTTAATCCCTGCCTGCATCCTTAACCTTACACACCGAAACCTAAACCCTGCCGCCTGAACCTGGAACCCTAACCCTGAAATTCTCCCCTGAATCCCCTTAAAACTGTAGAACGCGACACCGAAAAAGCCCAAAGCCGTTAATGCCTGAAGCTCTGAAACCCTGAAACCTGCGGCCTGCAACGTAATTCGACATCCAAAACCCCGAACCTCAAACCGTGAAAGCATGAAAGAACCCCAAACCCTGAAACCTTAAATCCTAAAACCCTAACCCACAGAAAACCTGAAACCCCGAAACCCTCGAAATAACATCAAACCCGAAAGCCTCGTAAGCCCTCGAACCCTGCAAACCCAGAAACCCTGAAATCAAACCCTGAAACCGAAACACTAAACCCTAAAATGTAAAACCAGGAACCCCGGAACACTGAATCCTGAAATTTTTGTACCGTTCCTAAACCACCTCCCCCTAAACCTGAAAAGCATTTTTCCAGAACCTTGAAAACTCCGAATCCTGTAATCCAAAAAGCTTGAAAGCTCAAACCATAAACTCCAAAACCTCAAACCCAGAAGCCAAAACTCTGCAGCCCTGAACACCAAAACACTGAAACCCTAAACATCGAAAACCCTCAACTGCCCTAAACCCTCAAACTCATCAAACCCAGGAGCCGTCAAACACGAATGCTACCCTGAAAACGCAAAGCCTTTAAGCCCAAAACAAGACACAAATCTAAAAGGTCCCAAAGCACCCAGAAACCCTAAACACGAAAACTCTAACCCCTGAACCCCTCAACCTCTGAACCTACACCCTGAAACCCTAAACCCCGAGAACCGTAACCCCTGAACCCCTGAACTCTTACCCCCGAAAGCCCGGAACCCACAAGCCAGAACCCCCATGCAAACCTTCAAGAAGCAGAACAAGGAAAATACACAAATTCAGGAGAAACTCTAAACCGGATACGGTTGAGATGTGGGTGGTCAGGGGGGTATCGCTGAACGCCAGGCGAGATGCCATGACCTGTTGGGTTGAGGCGTGCCGGCTCTTGGGAAACCTCAATCCCCTGAACCCCGAAAACCAAACCCATGAACTTAAACCCTGAAAACCCTAAACCCTAAAATCAAAAACCTTAACCCCTAAAACCCACGTTTTGATTGCCTCCCGTAAGCAGGGCCCCAGCCTGGCCGGCCTCTTGCAGCGCATCTTCACCCGGCAGGCTGCAAGGACTCGGTAAAAGGCTGAACATAATCTGTATTATACACTAATTAGAAGGTTGTAGGTTCTGCGTGGGCTACGGATTATAGGTCACACGTTGCATACTGCGCGGCAAAAACGGCAAGTTGGATGCTACACACTACATACTGTATGTCATATGTAACATGTCAGATTACATAATGCATACTATATTGTGCACTATACAAACCTGACAATACATATGATCTAGTGTATAAGGGATATTATGTACTGTGTATAGTATACTGAACGTTATATGTTTTATTTTACATAACGTGTATTGTATATTATATAATATGTTGTATATTATGAGTCACGTGTTTTCTGCTACATATTATCTATGGTAGTGTATATTACATTACGCGCAGTACTTATTTCGTATGTTATAAGCTGGAGTTGTATACTTCCGCTTATACACTGTGACAGATTTTATCCTGTGTGATAAATTATACAACATATGTGCAACCGTTTTTAAGTTATACAGTATATACTAGTATACATGATGTATTCGAACTATGCGTCATTTGGTATATTGGTATGTCTCATGTATTGTGTACTAGAGTTGGTAACTACATGTTGCAAATTCTTATATGCTACGTGATATGATATACTACAGATTACACATTGCGCTTAGGGGCTGAGTGTTTCAGCCTTGGTCACAACAGTGGACACACTTAAAGACTTTGCACTAACAACAACAGCAGCAACAACAACGACGACAACAGCAACAACTGATCATTTAGGGTTAGTTTGGTCTTCTGCTACGTACCGTCTTCTGTTAGGCAGGCTCTTCTGCTAGACCAGGGTTTCTGTTGCACAAGGTCTTCTGCTAGACTCGGGTTATAGGAGCTCTGACTGTGCGATGGCTTGGTTTGGTTGGCTTGGCTTTTCATCTTCAGGGAACCTGAAAACCGCGGAAGTCTCAAAAGGGCATGCCCATAGTCTATCATCCATAACGTGCAGTATAACTCCATGTACCCTCCATGGCAATGTATGCTAGGAGGATGTATACAACGTTGCTACCTCGTACGACCATGCAACAATGGCTAGGCCAGTTTACCTTATACATTGGCCATGTGGCAGCATAGCACACCCCGAAATAAAGCGAACGTCAGACCTTGGTGTACAAATGAACGTACCCATGCAGCCTTATGCTACCATGTTGATATTATATATTTGTATATATATATATATATATATATCCTTCTCAGATTGCTTTGCAGTGGTATGTAACGTGGCCTATTCAGACAATGACCGATTATGCTGGACTCAGACTCTGAAGGAGCGTGCACGCGAGGCTCTTGCCACCCAACCTGCTCTGTATACCACTGAGACTACTATCATCTGTAAAAGTCGCGTGATCAGCCTTCCCAGGAAAATTGCCATGTCTACAAGACCTAGGAGACGAGCAATGAAAGAGACTCAGGCGTCTGCCTGTCTGAAGCCACAGAATGGTCCAGCACAATGACCTCTGCTGAGAACAGGCCCAACACCAGCAAGATGAACCATCAAAGGTTTCCGAATCCTAGACTCCTGAACCAACACGCCAGCCCAGCCGGGAATTACCACAACAGCTGCCATTCTGAAGGACTCTCCGGAAAAATTTGGGAGCCGACATCGCCCTCGCCGACTTCGCTGTGCCACCTGAACCCCGGACAAGAGCCACTCAGGTTTACTGAAAGTCCAACATGGCAAAACGCGAGACTGAGGCAGTCCTCTGCCACTCAGTGGCTCTGGGTTGTTACACTAAATCAGACTTCCTGAGCTCGTTGTCAACCGTGCTACTCTAGGATTTCTGTTGATCTCGAAGCACCCAGCTCTCCCAGGCAACAACAGAGGAAGCAGCCCAAGGTAGAACAGCGAAGCAGGTGAGTGCCGCCCTACGACCACCAAAACTCTTCTAGCCACACCGAGAAGCCCCGGAAAGATCTAGATGTGATGAGGGTGCTACTGGTAGTCCGAACATTGTCTTTGCTGCCTGCGGCAAAGCATGCCGGGTTAAAGGCGTATGGTAGCGGAGCAAACCATGACTTTAAGGATACTACTACTTACTAGCTTACTTATAGAGCTGTGCCTCTACACATATGTAGAAATACCGATATACTCCGCAATGCGACTTTAGTTCAATAGCACCGCAGAACTAATCGCCGCAATGATGGTGCGAAGCAACGATTGTCCTACCGGGAGCAACATAACGACACGAAGAAATCTTCATGTACCTAGCTGCAAAGCCCCGTGCCACCAAGAAGGTGGATCGCCACCAGAATCCTTGCGTCTGTTCCAGAAGGTTTCGACTTAGGCTAAGTAACGCCACGTGAAACGACGTAACGACCCGCGCGATAGCAGGGGTGATTTTGCTGGCAAAAATGGAAGTGTTCCGGATGTAAAACGATGATTTCCTGATTGTTAGTTCTTGTTTTGGGAGACATCGCTGCACAACCTTGAAAGTTTTCGGGACTTGCTTCCGTCATTGTTTCATCTTTAGAATTATTGTTCTTGGTGTTTTCGCCTCGGCGAAAGCAAGGTTTGGCATTTGATGACTTGTCCGGCAGCACGTCTTCACTGTTTTGTGGACAAAACGGCACTTTTGGATTTCGGTCGATGTTTGAGTTTGTGGTGCTTCGGTGTTGCTATGCCATGCCTTTGAAGTCTTCAGGGGGCATTAGGGCAAAATGGCGGCTTTATTGAGGTAAAACGATGATTTCTGTTTTTATCAGTGCTTGTTTTGGGAGACAGCCGTGGGCAATTTCTACAGTTTTCGCGTCTTTAATTCGTCATTGCTTCATCTTTTGAAGTCGTGCTTTTCGTGGCTTTGCCGTGGCGAAAACAAGGTCGTGGGATGTCGGGTTTGAGCTTTGAACTTGAAGGTTATGGGGCTGGAACTGCTTCGCCAAGGCCTCGGATGCTGGTTTTAAGCTTCTACCTCGTGGGTTCTGGGCTTGCACGCTTGGGATCTTTGTTTGGAGCTTGAGGGTTTGGGCTCGGACGCTTAGTAATAGTGTGCTATTAATAGTATACGATTATGGTATAACAGAATGGTTAGGGTTGTAAGGGTTCAAGAGCCCCTGCCTGACCCCGTTGCTTTCACTCTGGCTTGCTTTGGGATGCCTTAAGCCTAGAGAAAGACCTCCATTCCGGGGGTCGAGCGTAAGCATCAACAACACAAAGCTTCTGCAACCAGACCCCAACAACCTTAGTGTCATGATGCAAGACCTGCCCCGCGAACGCGTGGCGAACCGATCTATGAACGAGCGTAGCGACGCCTGCATGAAAGCGGGGCTTGCCGCTCGAGTTCTCACAGGGGCGCTCGGGGAATAGTACGCACAGTAGCCAAAGCTCTTAGCCGTTTTGGAGACACCTTGCCACTCGGAAGAGCTCAAAGCAGCCTCCTGTAAGCAAATGACATCAGCTTCCAGAAACTGAGAATTATGCAGCCTCCAGGCTCCTGCGCTGATGGAGAGGAGACGAACGACCGGCATCGTGGACTCAGGACCCGGCACACGTGCCTCACCGAGCCTGACCGCTCTATATCCTCCGAACCCACACCTGCTAACTAGCAGCGGCTCCGACTGAGGCCTTGGCCGCCGCAGCCTGGACTTTGGCCCGGGGCTTCGGGCGCTTAGACGCCTGAGCCTTAGCTCTGGCAGCCTTGGCCTTGGCCCAAGCAACTTGTCTCGGCGTCGGTGTCAAATTGAGCCCAACAAAGTCTTTAATTGCATCTTGGGTGAGTCCACTGGACGCAAGGAATTGTGTCATCTCTTGAGGGTTCTCATCCCGCAGGCGGATCCACCAGCTCCTTTTGCGCTGCGCCAAGAGGTTTGGTCCTGAGTCGCTCTAGCCTCTGGTCGCATGTAAGGTGCCGAACACTCTTACTTTCGTGCTGCAGGTGTGCCAGGCAAGATCTGCAGAAGACCGCACAGCCTCGTTCTGACTTGGACCATTGCCCTGGCCTGTGAGGAAAAGCGTCATTCGTGGCATACTTTGCCTCTCGTACTCGCGGTGTTTGGCAGTCTGCTGTTTGCTAACACCGCGCCTTCGCTGGGGCCATCCCTTACGCCAAAGGAAAGACAGCGAGCGCGGAGTGTGCTTCTTGCATCTTCTTGCGACAGCGTTTGCAGCGCTCCCGGATGGCCCTGTTCTTCTCCTGGTACGGGAGGCCCGGCGACCCTTGGTTGCAACCCGGGATGGGGCACGTCCACATCCTCTGTTGAACTGGCAACTCAGCACTCGTCTGAAGGACCTCAGCTTCGCGCGCCTGCTTAGCCAACGCGCGGTTGAAAAACGGGTGGCGGGACTGCAATGCTTGGAAATGGACAGACCTGCCGAGTTAGACCCTTTGATGATCACATGGCAGACCGGCCACGGCCAGAGGTACATGCATAAGTGCAGATGTACGTATATGTGTATGTGTGTACGTATGTATATACATTGATGAGCTGCAGTCGTTCCCGTTTCATTTCATGGGCACTTCGATAGTGCATTGGTATCTTCGCAACCCGAAGCACACCACAGCTAAACACTAGCAACGGCTCGAAACAGCTACACGGTGATCACCACCCCCACACTCCCACACCGCTGAAAATAGCACGTTTGGCTACATGCGGATCCCGCTTGCCGGGAACTCGCGGGTACACCCGTCTCGCTACACCACCACGGGTAGTCTACGACGTATACTTCAAATATGCCACTCCACAACCAGGGAGCTGTCACGAAGAGTACACCAGCGCACTCGTTTACATGGTGCAAGAATTGGATTAGGTAGGGAAGGATGGGGAAGAAAAAGGAACTGCAGCGACACAGGTCCAATTTCGGAGGATGTTCGCTGTTTTGGTTTGATGAGACACGACGGCGGTACACAAAGGCCAAGCTCAACAGTGCATGCAAACAACTTCACACTAACTGGTGCAAGCAGACAGCAGCACTCTACCAAGCCAAACTGCATACAGGAGTTGGATTTTCTTCGTATTTGTCGTATAGACTTCAAAAGTCTATGGGGAGCTAGCACTTATTCATATGCACTTTTATCATAATACTCTTAGCATTATTTTTCAGCCTATACGTATGTATGACCATATTTCGTCAACCTGTATATAGAAGATCACGGATCGCACTGTATACACGGCTTTCATGATTCAGTTGAATATTCTATAAATGACGCATGAGCAGAAAAGACTGGCATCAGCGTAGGCATCTTGGGCTGCAATATGTCTACTAACTATGGTTGTAAGACCATGCAGTACAGGTGCAGCAGCAGCATAGCAAGGGTGTCGAGTGCAGCAGAACTCAAAGTACGACTGGCAGCACTGCCACTCCGAGGACTGCTCGGCAATGGACGTCGTCACCCCCACCCCCCCCCACACCCCCAACAACCCCCTCCCCACCCTCCCCACCCCCCCAACACCCCCGCCCCACCCCCCCTCCGTCCACCCCAGAAGCGGACATAAACAAGCAAAAACAAGCATAACCCGCGGGTCAATTGGTAGTGCGTTAGCTTAGACTAGGCTCATCTATCGAGATTAGTTGTGCCCTCGGTTCGCTTCTTGTGTTCGAGCGGGCTGGAGGCAGAGCAGCCTGTGGCTGCGTTTGACTTTCCACCTTGAGGGTTTGGTTTCCCGGCAGCAACCGTCTATGTACTACGGAGACTGGTCGGCAAAAATGGCAGGGTTTTAAGTTAAGTCGACTGTTGCATGACAATGCATCATTGGTAACGCTGCTATGTCCTGCTGGTCGCATCGAGTGTCCGTGCAATGCTGCGCAATCGTGCATGCTGGCGTGCATATGCGCGCCCGTGCCCGTGTGCATGGTGTGGGCGGGGGTGTCGGTGCGGGATGTATTTCAGGGTTGGTTCAATGCTTCTGGCTGAAGTTGCCATTGTTTCCATGAGCTGACAGAGTTCCGTAGTCCAGTGCGATTGATGGGAATCTGTACAAGAAGCAGGTGCGGTGTCCCCTGGACGTATTGCAAAAGCAGTTTCTGAGTTCACAGCGCGCAGCGTTCGTGCAGAAAGCCGGGAGGTGACGATCATGCATCGTATCTAAATTACACTCTGCATTGCATTGCTGATTCATGTTTTGTGGTATGTTTGCATCAGTCTCCGCACTATGATTGATGCGAACATGAAAACAACATGAAACAGAGAAATACATTGAACATTGCACATGATACCTACGGCCTCGAAAAGACAAATCTCACTGTGTGATCTCAGTGTATGTGTGTGTGTGTGTGTGTCTGATTCGTGAGCCGAACAGGTTAAACAAACCCTCAGCACAAGCACTGCGGCCTCCTGTTGCTTTGGCCGAACTGCCAGAGGCTGCACGGGCACCCGCGCTGCAAGCACAACCTGCCGGTATTCTTGGAGAACCAGCATAGACTGGCAACAGCGCAAGCAGCAGATAGTAAACAAAAAGACAAACACACTGAGAACAGCAAGAATGGCGATGAAAAAACACCCCTTGGGCACCAGTTTTTTGATGCACAAGCCAGAGACAGGGGCAAATATGGGCCGCCCTTCCATGCCACATGTCCTGAGTGTAGTGACGGAGCTCGGGTTCCCTGCTTGTAGCTGCCCCCATCAGTCAACACAGCACGACAGCGAATTCTCCGTTCATCACGCAGAGTCTTCAAGGCGCTTGAAGGATTGACAACACTGCTGTTTGTAATTCCTTCTTTCGAAGAATTTCGACACCATACAAGGCCTGAACAGACGCTTTCGGAATGGAAGGGCATTTGACAGGTATATTGTTGATCGCCGTGAATTTTGGTTTGTGGTTGCTCTTTATTGGCCATTGTGGCTTTCGGCTGTTGGTTGGTGCTTGCTTATCACATGCTACATCTTGTTGGTTGCGTGAACGTGTTACGTTTCCTCAGTTCGTTCCGGCACTGGTTACCAAACACAGGCATCGTCAAACGAACAGCAACAGCACTGGGAACTGCGGACCAGCGTTCAGTGTTGTACACGTGGCTTTTCACCCCAGATCGGGTGGCTCGGCATCTCCTACCACTGCATCTGCGTGGTTGGCACTTCCGGAGTCTCCTAAGATTAAACATCACAAGCCTTGTGCTTGGATCTAGCTAAAGACTTTGCTGGCCACAGCTGTGTGGAAGCGAGATCAAAGGGCGCTGCCTGCTGATCTGCAGGGTCTACTGCACTTTCCCTGCTGTTGCAGCGCGCCAGAAGCCCTCAGATCATCGAAGCACCTTCTCCTCGAAGATCCGACGTCCTGCTCTCTACGAGGCACAAAGTATCAAATCAACAAGTAAGGTTGTATACTATGTACCGCCACCCAACAATGCAAAATGAAGGAATCACAACAGCCAGAAAGACAAACCGCATCCTCGAGGTTGCGAGATGTCTGGTACCGTCAACGTTGGATGACTTCCAACAATGCACAGAAACCCGAAAGAAGAATACGTTGTCACCATGGGAGTTCTCAACAAGTCAACCGAATCACTCTGGATTGAATTTAGGATGCAACTCCCGACCAATACCTAAACAGACTGCACCTAACTAATACCAAACTGAACGCAGAAAGCCGACCATCTGCTACAATCAAGCCGAAACCGCACATTGCGCCCTGAGACTTGGGCTCTATCCTCGTCACGGAAGCTGCTTCTGTGGCAACCCTTCAGTCCTTTGATCAGAGAGACACGGGGAAGACTGCGGTCTATGCAGGCAGGCACACTCCATGTGGCATTGTGCCTCACTGCATTATGAGCTCCAGCGCCTAGAGTCTAGAGAGTCTAGAGCGTCTCTGCCGAACCTCCAAACAAGACACAACACACCGGGACTTGCAAGCATATAATACCCCTCACAAAGGCAGAGCCCAGGTGCAAAGGGAGATGCGAGAACCAAGCCAACCTGCATGCAGACCTGCAAACGGAAAGGACTCACAAACTACATCTTGAAAGTGGAAGATGTGAATCTTCCGAGCTGTGAAACTGCTCTAGTAAGTGCAGCAGCATGTGCAGCCCGTCTCGTATTGAACTAACTTGGAGTCAACTTGAGAGTCGACTCATTGACTGTCGGACCGAGAGATGCTTGGTTCTGTACTGAGGGAAAGGAACTGGGAGCCACGGGCAGATTCTGGCACACTGCTTCGTCGTGCTGTAAGGACTGTTCACACGCCGCAATGCTATCCAATCTATCTGGTACATGCCGAAGAAAGGATCCGATGTTTGTGTGTGTGTGTGTTAAAGTTTCCCGCCCATTGCTGCCTCGGAAGGGACCCAACAGCGGGTCTGGTCACTTCTTGGCGTTTTGCTGCCACCTTGCACGCGAAATTCGGTTGGAAACTACAGTCTTCATCCTTGACCGAAGTTGAAAATCTGCGTTTGCAGAGAAAGGTGCTAGCAAGCTGTTTCTTGTGCTGGCACAGTCATGACGTGGGGCAGCTACTTGTAGCGACTGTCCCTTAACTCTATTGCACAAGACAAGACCCAGGTTCCGAAGACCCAGCTGCAGGGGTACCTTGTGCTGGCTGACCGAAGCTTTGTTCCAATGAATGACCGTTTAGTACCCTTTGAGCCGGCCTGCTTTACAAAGATCTACATGGGTTACAAGTGCTCTAAGATTGTCCTTGCGCTCATGCGCCCGCCCTTGCGTCACAGCACCCTTCAAAAGTGTCACCTGAAAAAATCCAATCTGAGTCAAGAGCACGGGATTTACATCAACCTTCAGATGCAGATTCTGTAAGAAGCAAAACGCAAGGCTGCCAGCTTTGCGCTGCCTCGACACTGACAGTGATGAGGCCGAGATCCTTCTAACCGCTAAACTGTGCAACCAGAGCCGCCTCGACATGAGTTCCATAACGGCCTCCCGGATGAACTTCCAGTGTCGTGGCGGCCTCCACAGCAGTGGGAATGATGCTTGGACCATCTTGAACCCAAACACACGCAAGAGCCATGCTGATGATCCGAGTACCAGGGGAAACACGAAGCAAACAAACGAGTGGCAGCTTATGCAGATGTGCATGCATGTCCACTTCGTGCCTCCAGAACAATGAGTGCTGCGCCATATGCCATAAGCACTTCATGCAGCAGTCAAGCGACATCAAGCGACTGCATTGCCATGACCCACCGACTTGAAGGAGTTCCAAAGTCTTGAAAGTCCGGTGCTTGGGATCTTATTATGCGAAGCACAACAAATATCCCCTGTACAACCCCCTCCCCCCGCCCGCACCTTCCAGTTCCATCAGGGTTCAGGAGATCTCTTGGCAGGCAGGAGAACTCCGAGCCTTCCTTTGCGTGCAGACGGGCAAACCGGGCAAGTTGCACGAAAGGCAAGCCTTCGTCTGCTGTCCCTCTGTTTGCAGTTGTGCTGCCGGCGAAATCAAGCATTTGAACAGCAGGGTCATCCTCTTCTCTGAGAAGACCATGTCCTGCATTGCGGCTCTACAAGGATCCGCATCCCCGAACTGACATGGGTGTCCTTTTGCTGCTGCTTCACCGCGTTGTAGGACCTGTCCATGCTGTCCTTCATCCACTGTCGGACAAAGGCCTGCGCTGATCGGATCAGATTGAGGACGTGATTGCAGGCCCTGTCAGGAATCCGATGCATAAGAGCACATCGGAATCAACACACTCAAAGATGACCGATTATCCGACAACGTGGTTTCGCTTTTGCTTGGTGACGACTCGATCTGACACATGCGACTGGAGAAGGTGATACCTCCCAGCATGGAATCGGATGTACAAGGGCAACATCAGGAACGGGTATCTAGGACGCCTCAGATTAAGTCCTTAAGCCTCAATTCCAAACCTGAGGCCCTCCAACACTAAAGCCTAACCCTGCTCGCGATGAAGGCGTTCCTCTAGGTACCTCCTCTAGCAACGTTTTGCCACAGTTTGCGAATGAAAGACACAAGGATGCGAGAAAAGGACAGGAACCCAATCAAGCCATGGACAATTGCCGCGGTGCTGTATGTCAAAGACCAAGACCCCACATGCCTCGATCTTCTTTTGTCGGTGACCCGATGCTGCTTTCGCAGCTTCACAGGCGCCTTGAACAAGGGTCTCACGGCTGCGTGTTAGGGTTGCAGAGACCGGTTTCGCCGGAGTGTTCTCTGATGACGACTGCATGGAGTTGGGCCTGCTTTTACAGTAATACAGGTCTCAGCATGGTCGAGGACGGCCGTCAGGATGATCCATTGCTATTCACGTAATGCTGCTCGATCATGTTGATCAGTACTACGCCCTATAACATTGTGTGTGTATGTTAGTGGCTGTGACGATGTTTTGGCCATTGGCAAGGCAATCATGATGATCACTGGCTGACTCCGTGGCATCCTTTGATGTACGTTTCTGATCATTATCGGCAAACTTACTTAAGCAGGTACTGCACCCTGAACGAAGAAATAGAACGTATACTCAATATGCTTATGTGACATATTTGCATTGTACATATAGAGGGAGTCGGAGAGAAAGAGAGATAAAGCGAGAGAGGGAGAGAGCGGCAGATGAGACACGGACGTTCCCGTAAGTAGTTTGTGAGGACTGTCATTGAGCCGGGTCACTTGGGTGCATCTTCTGCAGCGAGATGATCCTTGGATTTCGTTCCCGCTGTCTCAGTGTCTCAATTTCCCGCACAAGCGTTTGCACCGGTCTGCCTATGTTCATGGCGATACTCATGGTATATTACCAGCCGACATCGAAGACCACAAGACAACAAAGCACAAAGATGAATTTCGGGTGGAGCTTTGAGCCTCTGGTAGTCAGTTCTGGGTGCGGCATATGAAAATCGCAAGGAGTTCTACAAGTTCGCCGACTTAAGCCCATTGTCTCAAACAAGCGCTCCATAGATGTGCCCTTGCTGCTTCCAGTCTGACTTCCCTCACAGGCTAGAGTCTTGAGCATGAACGTCTCGCGACATGTTAGGTCAAGGGACACCTTCTTGCGCACATCGTCCTCTAGCGCATTGAAGGATTCGGCCACAGCATTGTGCACCGTGTCCTGTTCTGACAATGTGACCGGCTGAAGCATTCGCCACAGGTCCCGCAACCAAGCCGCGGAATACCACAATGGTAAGCATGGGCAGCAGAATCTCGTGCCGGTCTTGTCTTCAAAACAAGGGACCAAATTCTAGAGCCCACTCAAATTATATCCCCCTCTGTGCCTGGAAGTTCCGCTGTTCCGCATACCGGGCAAACTCCTGCAGCAGAGTGGTGGGCACGTATTAAGCCTTTCTGCAGGTGTATGGCGTGTCTTCGAGACCATCACATACATGCGCCTTGACATCGCCGAAAGCCGTGCAGCAAACAAGCAAAGACGTGGGGGGCTTGGTCGAAGATCCTAATGTCACCGTCTCCAGCGCAGCCTCATCGATCATGTTCTGCAGCACCTCCT